TTTACTTCCATCCCCAATGTCCAGCTGGCCGGGGAGGCGAAGGGGAGGCACAAGCCGAGAAAGGCACCCCGCGCAGACGAGGGGCGCTACTCCCACCCACCCACCGCTTCGTCGCCCCAGACTTTGCCGGTGAGGGCAGCGGGCAGCGGGCAGCGGCCGTGCCCACTCAAGTCTCGGCTGCACACGCGTTGGCGCCAGCGCCGGTCCCGCCGGGCAGAGTCGCGCCCGCCCACCCGCAGGTAACCGGAGGCAGCGCTGACCTGACCTGACAGGGAAGTCGTGGGCGCCGGGGACCACGCACCCCCCACACACACCCCGAAGCACGCCGGGCAGCTGTCGGTGGGCAGGAGACCCGCGCCCACAAAGGGCCCCCGTGGGGAGGATGGGCGGGCGGCGCCGCTCCCGGCTCTCTCCCTGCTCGCCGCCTTCTTGCCCGAGCGTCCCGTGAAACGTCCGCGGGCTCGGCCGCCTGGAGGAGACCAGGGCGCGGGCGAAAGGCGCGTGGCCGAGGCTCCCACGGAGAGGCGCTGTGGAGAAGAAGGCGGGGGAGGGCGCCTGAGGTCTCGCCGGCGAGGCGCAGCCCGATCCTGGGCCCCTCTCCTCGGATACCAGCCCCAGAAAGCCGAACAGGACACGCTCCCAGGTAAGTGTGCCGAGAATTCACATCGCCCCGTGTGCAGGGGAGCTAAAGGGGCGCGCTCTTGGCATGCAGCGGAGGAACGACGTTTGGATTCAGCGTAGGAGTTCTTGCAAGGAACTTTTCCAAAGGCGCAGATTTCGTCCAAGGATGAGTGAATTCCGCAAGACCCGTTCAGAAAATCCCGCGATCCTGTATTCGTCATAGGCAGGTTTGAGAATATATTTCGTGATTTGAGTGGCGGTGTTAGCGCTGCGAGGCAAGACTCTCTCGCTGCTAGAGAAATCTAACGTGTGGAGTAACGGACCCCTGCCCTTCCGGCCAACGCAAGCACCAGCTCTTGATTTTAGTCGCAAAATACAGCATTTGACTGTAACATTATGACTCTCAAGCTTTTGAGGCGTTCTGCTGTCAGCTATTCAAAGAAGGAAAGTTAGCGCTGTGATTGAAGCAAATGTTTGATATTCGGAATCTGAATGTTGAACGTGAAAGGGATTTTAGCCATGGTTGGAGGGGTGTGCAGAATTTGATGGCCGCATGGCAGTGAAATGCTATGTGTGTGTGTTACCATCACTTGGATATTTGGAAGATAATGTTCTTCCAGTTTTTGGTCTGAACAATTGGACCCTTCTTTTCTGTATACATTAACATTTAGGCTGTATTCCTGTAATGCTTTCCTGGGCTTAAGCCATCGTGAGCACAGCCAGACCTACTCCTGAGTAATTATGCATAGTATTATATTGCTGTCCTATCAGGGATTACCCAGAACATGTGTCATAAAAGGCAAATTAAATTTCAGCTTTATTTCTGGCTAACTTGAAAGAATGTAATATGTTATTTTAAACATATGTGCCTTATCACTTTGTTGAAATCTCAAAACCATTTACAGTACTTGCAAGTAAATTTCATTAAGTGAGCTCATTAGACGCATACATTATTTTGGGGGTTAAATATTATACCTTTAGACTGTATCACATTATTCAATTAATTTTCTGTAGAAGAAATCTGTTATCCAATAAGGAAATTTCACAATCGTTTTTATTATCTGTATCACATTGTTAGTTACATGGATGAATTTTCCAAGGAAATCCATCTTATTCTATTTGAGACAGAGAATTGAAGTTCTGTATAAAACGTGCAATTGTGCTGAGCAGTGAAAAGATTTCCAATGAAAACTCTGTGCTATTTTGACAGAAATCTGTGTCACCTGATATTATTAACCTTTTTTGTCACAATTGCATGTGTGAAACAGAATTTTAGAAGATCTTTACTTTGTGCTCAGTTTTCATAAGCATTCCTGAACACTGTTTCAGCAGAAGCATCTAATGTAGATGCTGTACCAAAGCAATGTGCTGTTTACGATAACAAATGTTCTGTTATGATAAGTCAATCACCTTCCCCTGGATAAGAAAAACAAAGGGAATCCTCATTTTGTTCACTCTTGGTGCTGTAAGGTTTATGGCTGAAAGCTGCTTTGTTCTATTTCAGGCTATTCAGTTTGACTAAGAGGCTATAGTTCTATTTGTTTGTTTAACCGTCTATTCAAGCCCCTCAGTATTAGAATATGAACTAGAATAAGCACGAGTCCCCTAATCCAGTCTGGAAGCTGATGGAGCATTTTGGATAGGATACTTAATGTGGTCAACTGAGATTTAGGAATGTGTGTCACCTTCACTTGGATGAGAAAATAAAATTGATGTAATTTGGGGTGGTGATGGTTATACCTACATGAGACATAGTGATGTGTTAGGTGAAAAAACTTGAATTTCCAGATATTTGGCTTTTGAGATTTTTCTGCTAGCCATTTCTAAAGATACAACAAAGTTCTCTTTATTTGTTAGTGACGGCATGAAGCAAAGGCTGATTTGAATTGTCCAACCCTTTTTGCTCCCAAAATGTCTTTCTTTTTTCTCCTGTTGTGGAGTTTCTACTTTTTCAAGCCAGAGTTATTTGAATGCAGTAGTTCCTGATATGTTCTTGTAAAGATGAGGGGGCACAATGTTTTGCTGACACGGGCATTTGGAATGTGATGTTCAGGTGGGGGTGGGGAACATGCAATAGCATGATTTTAATGTGAGGGATTGGTTGGTAGTCTTGAATCCTGTGAGAGCATTTGCAAAGACCTTTTAGGTGTGGAGCAAAAGCTTAGTGCTGTTAATTACTTAATTGATAGGTCTGAAAATGTCATCAAAATAATTTTCCTCTTCCCATCATACCCTTTTCCCTTACTTCAATTAATGCATGCAGGAGTTACCACATCTATGGCCATAAATAGTTTTAAACTATTGGCATGATAAACTGTGACCAGAGATCAGATAATTCCTGCATGTGTTACTTGAAAGTAATGGAAAAATGTAACAGATGGAAAAGGGAATGTTTTCTGTTACAGAATCATTCTGATGTGTGAATTATGATTATCTTTGAAAACTACTGTTTGAACTTTTGATGTTCTATACTGTGGGCTATTAAGCACCTTTCCATATTTTTCTATAGAAATGTTTTTGAGAAAGGTAGTAGTCTGAAACTTTAAATGAGAAAGTAGTGTTATAGCAAACAATAAAAGAATCAGTAGAGGCAGAATCAGAGGAAAAAAGGATCAAAGGATTGGCAGAGGCAGGACCAGAAGGTGGGCTGTGAACTCGAATGTGACGTGCCTCACATCCAGTATGAAGGGTGAACTCCCGAATCAATCTGCATGCCATACAGGCTCCAAATCAAATCATAGCAAAGTAATCCAGTGTAGTCATATCCTGTAAGAGAGTGAAAAGGCAACAGAAGCCGCAGAGGCTAAGTCTGAAAATAATGTAGTAAATACTTCTTTTAAATGGTGATATGTTTTGCAGTTCAGAAAACAGAAAGTAGTAAGGCAACGGGGCAGAAATACAATTTCTCTCCTTCCATCTTTCTTTCTCTCATTTCTCATCCCTGATCCTGAACTGGGCTACATGCCTTCTGCTGCTGCTTCAAGAATCAGAGCTGACTCCCCAGAGTCATCCCTCTGTATTCACATTCTCTCTTGAAACAGGCCAAGGCTACCATGTGCCACTGCGCACTGGTGTTTTGAAGCGGGTGAAGGGACACAGAGGCATTTGTTCATTCCACCTCTCCAACCACTTTCTCTGTCCAGGCAGAGTGGAATAAATTGGAGGTGGGGAAGGCATCTGGAAAAGGCACAAGAGAGATTGGAAAAGGCATGTTTGACAAAAAGTGGGGATGAGAAGATGTGGGCTTGAGAGTAGACTTCTGCGGGCTCCTCCCACTGCATTCACATTCTTCCTCAAGAGGTTGCAGATGCTGTGTGCACTGCACACCACACGAAGACAGGAAGGCAGTGATTTGAGGGGAAAGGACACTGTCACCACTGCTTCTTCTCTCCATCTCCCTCCTCCCCCCGTAAACATTGCTGCCCAGCAGGGCATGAATGAGGGAGGCATCACTTTACTCTCCAGGCAGCAAGAAAGGGTGCACTGGTCCTGGCAGGTGTGACGGCACATAAACAATTGTTCATTCTTTTTCACTCTTCTTCCTAGCTACAATTTCTAGATTGGGAAACATGAGAGACAAGAGAGACTCCTACACATGGTGATCATGATCTTGTTTGGGCTCATCAGTGAATTGACTGAACTAGGGTGTGTATGCATGTCTGTGTGGAAGCTGCTATAGGGTACCTGAGAGCAACAGAGAATATTGCCTGGAAGTATGGTATTAGCAGGCTTGGGCTCTGTGTCTGAGACAGGGCAGCACTGGACTACCAGTGCAAGATGACCTGGTTTAAATGAGTTGCTAAACAGAAAGTGCCAATGGTTAAGTCTCACTTTGGTTCCTCACTTCAAAGAGCTGTGGTTCCTAGGATATTTAGAAACTGAATTTTAGAAATGATCTTTGGGATACATGGTGTGTCAGTTTTACATTTTGTACAGTCATGGCCAAAAATATTGGCACCCTTGCAATTCTGTCAGAAAATGCAACCATTCTCTCATAAAATTGTTGCAGATGCAAATATTTTGGTACTCACATATTCATTTCTTTGGTTTGTGTTGAAACAACAGAGAAGAAAAGTCAAATCTGATACAATCCCATACAGAAACCCAAAAATGCACTGGCCAAAATTATTGGCACCCTAAACAATATTTGGTAGGGCCCCCCTTGGAAAAAAATAACTGAAATCAACCACTTCCTGTAATCATGAATGAGTTTCTTACACCTCTGTACTAGAATTTGGACCACTCTTCTTTTGCAAACTGCTCCAGGGTCTTCAGATTTGAGGGATGCCTTCTCCCAACTGCTGTTTTGAGATCTCTCCACAGGTGTTCTATGGGATTCAGATCTGGACTCATGGCTGGACATTTCAGAACTCTCCAGTGCTTTGTTTGCAACCATTTCTGAGTGCTTTTTGAAGTGTGTTTTGGGTCATTGTCCTCCTGGAACACCCATGACCTCTGGTAGAGACATAGCTTTTGGACACTGGCCACTACTTTGTGCCCCAAAATTCTTTGGTAATCATCAGATTTCATGATACCGTTAACACAGTCAAGACATCCAGTGCCAGAAGCAGCAAAGCAACCCCAAAACATCTTTGAAGCTCCACCATGGTTGACTGTAGGGACTGTGTTCTTTTCTTTGAATGCCTCATTTCTTTTTCTGTAAACACTGTCATGATGTCCTTGACCAAAAAGCTCTACTGTTGTCTCATTTGGCCACAGTATGTTCTCCCAGAAGGAGTGTGGTTTTGTCAAATAAGTTTTGGCATACTCCAGTCTTGCTTTTTATGCCTTTGTGTCAGCAGTGGTGTCCTCCTGGGTCTCCTACCATAGCGTCCCTTTTCATTCAGATGGTGATGGATAGTGCGAGCTGACACTGTTGTACCCTATGTCTGGAGATCAGCTTGAATTTGTTGGGAAGTTAATCTGTGTTCTGTATCCACCATTCGAACAACCCTTCGTTGTGATTTTTCAGTCATTTTGCTCTTCCGTCCACGTCCAGGGAGGTTAGCTACAGTGCCATGG